CCTACGGTAAACACGTGGTTGCAGAGAAATGCGTTCTGAAAGAGGTTCCGTGGTTCGGAAGGATGGTGTTCTGTTGTTCTTAAAGGTTCTGAACAATACTGGTAAATAGGGAAGCTAGATAATGGGGCAGATGTTGAAAATAATAAAAGATCCAGGAAGAAAAGTGAAACGGATTTTATTCTAAATGGCGCAAATGAGAATTTTTTTTCAAAATGCGAGAAATTCGCGAATTTTGAAATTGGTTTATAAAATGCGCGAATTTCTCGCGGTAATCATTTTTTAATGCGAGAATATAAAAAAATATGCGAGATTCTCGCGTTCTCGCGCTGTAGTGAAAACACTGCTTGAGCAATAACATAGTGCTAAAATAAATAGCAAGGATCCCTGATGCTGCTCCTTTGAATAGTGTCTTGATAATGCTTTCTGACAGCATTAAGTTCGCTTATTAAAAGTGCATGTAGAAATCTGGTTTTTATTTACCCTGTTTTCAGTTTCAATTAATTTTTTGATTATAGGTATGATGTGTTCTAATTGTTGATAAAATGAAATAAATTTTATGAATGTGTAATTTTTAATTTTATAGTTAGCTTTGAAGATAATCCCTATCGATAGAAATTTTCGCTCGTACAACTTGCATAATTTGATAACTAGATTTGCATAATTGTAAGTCTAGTGTAGTAGTTGTACAATAGTAAAGAATCAAGTACCACAGATGCTATTTGTTTTCTTAGTATCAAATAGCGTTATCAAAGCTTGCAAACAGAAATTTTTAAGTTTTTAATTCTTACATTCAAAGCTTCAAAAATTTGAAGTTAATAATCTTATAATACCATTATTTAAGAATTTTATTTGTGTTTCTAATTAAGTTTTGTTCTTCACACAATACCTAGAACTTTTTTTTCATTTGTTGAAAAATGAGTGTAGTAATTGTGTAAAAAAAATTGTAAATTTCGCTAACCCTGCTTTTCTAAGCTGTGTTTGATAGTAGGTTTACTTACACTGATGCTAATTTGTTATGAAATTTTAAAGAAAATAATATTTTTATCTGAGGCTTGTTTCAGTTAGTTAAATTGCTAATTAATCTGTTATTATTTAATCTTAAAATAGCATGGTGTGTAATACTTTTTAAAGGTTTCATAATTAGTATTTCTTAACAGAATAAGGAGATTTTGACACCCAAAACTGGTTTAAGCTGTCAAAAGTCTAGATGCTTTGTCAACATGTGAATTTTTACCTTTAATGTGAGCTTCAAATTTATAAGAAATCTTGTTTTGTTTCATTTTAACTTAATTTAAGAAATCTTTTGTTTTATAATTATGTAACCCATTTAGAAAACTACTGGTACATCTTTTTGGTGTCTTAAGATGGCTTATATTTCAGTTTTATTGATTGGTTGTGTTCCTTGTGTACTGTGGAATTCTGGGTTTTTCAATTAAAAACTTATCGTATGATAGTGAGTTAGCAAATGTGTCTCTTACCCTAATTGGGAGAGATCCATCAATTTCATTCCTATGACTTGATGGATTTTTGTGGTTTGGGATATTTGTAACTGATTTTAATATCACAATGATGTTCATACTTACCTGATTTAAAAATCTAATGTCACGATCTGTGTTTTTTAATCCATATTGTGTAATGTTATATGTATTCACGCTTCAGTGTTTTCATCATAGAAAAAAAATGGGTGAGAATTTCTCACCCTTTCTCAAAAACAGGGTGAGATTTCAAAAACTTAAGTGAGATTTCTAAAAACTAAAAATACACAAAAACTCCTGAAAAAAAATTTTTTTTTTAATTATAAGACATTTCTAACGTCTTCTATTTTTTAAAGCATTGAATATTTTTGGTGCATCATCATAGAAGATTTTGCCTTTACAAGGTATTTGTCCATCTTACATTTCACATAAAAAATTTGAACGTCTTACATGAAGAAACCTAACCTACGGTAAACACGTGGTTGCAGAGAAATGTGTTCTGAAAGGGGTTCTGTGGTTGTGTTCTGTTGTTCGAAAAGGTTTTTAACAATACTGGTAAATAGGGAAGCTAGATAACGGGGCAGATGTTGAAAATAATGAAAGATACAGCCAGAAAAGTGAAACGGATTTTATTCTAAATGGCGTAATTCTAAGCTTTGTTCGAAAATGCGAGAAATTCGCGATTTTTGAAATTGATTTATAGAATGCGCAAATTTCTCGCAGTAATAATTTTTTAATGCGAGAAAAGAAAAAAATATGCGAGATTCTCGCGCTGTAGTGAAAACACTGCGCTTTCTCAGATATCGCGATTTGTGTTTTCACAATTTTTGCACATTGTCATACTCATGCAATTTTTAAAAAATCCAATATCGCTGTTCTTTAAGTGCTATGTTTTTTCTTAGAATAGTTACTATGAAAGTGTGATTTACTTTATTGGTAGGTAATTTAATTATAAATCTAAATTTAAAAAATTATGTTAAATATGAAACATGTATGTGTGATTGATATTGAGTTAATGCACATAAAATTTTCAGGGTTTTCACTTTGTCACAAATACCCTTGATATATTTATAGTAATCAAGAGTTCTCGCTTTGAAAAAGAAAAAAAAGGCATGGTGTTTCTAGGTACTTGGAGTTTTGATGGGGCACCCACATAACACTAAAAATTTGTTAAACTGTGTAATATTATGTAATAACTGAATTTGATCTTCAACAACATTTAAACTATGCTTACTTTATTATTAACAACTTTATTTAAGCTTCTATAAGGGCAAGCAGACCATATTTTTAAAAATGCTTTGGGAAGACACTCTCTTTATAGAAAGGTTTATTTTTTAAGACATTTTCAGTTGCTTTTGTAAATAAAGCTGTAATTTGATCTTTAACCTTTATAATTGGATGTAATTAGCTATTTAAGACAAATATTTATATAAATTAATGTATTTTTAACTGTTTTTTATTATTTATTTTTTTGACAGACTGAAAATTAAGATAATTCTTTTTCAGGTTATAATGGCACAAGTGAAAAACTTACCACAGAGCAAAGAGGCACTTTTAAAGTCTTACAATAAACGATTAAAAGATGATGTGAAATCTATGGTTGATAACTTTACTGAAATAGTTAAATTAGCTAGACCTAGTCATGAGGATGATGGAGGAAATGTAATTCGTCCCCTTGCGACATCACAGGATCAGTGTGAAATGCATGTAAGAGCTGCAAATATTGTGAGTATTCATAATTTAATCTTATCTTGACTAATTAAATTAATCTAATCTTTTCTTGATATTTTTAAAGTTCAGAGCTTATGCGAGAAGTATGCCTTTTCTGCCTCGACACAAACTTATGATTGTTTAAATTTTTATAAACAAAGAAATAAATCAAAATATATTTATACGAAGATATGGTTAAGAACTGGATGTTTATGTCTTTAACTCACATTCTTAAATCAATAAATGTTTTTATTTTTATTACAATTGCTTAGTGAATGTTCATGATTTACATTACGTTCAGCAAAAAGATAGCCCAGATAAGAATAATACATATATGCCTCTTGGTGATGACCGTCACGCATTTGGCATAGCTCGAAACATTCCTGATATTAGTTGACCTTTTCTAATTTGTTAAAACTAAACTAAACTCAGCAGCATGACAGCCCATAGAGGGCCAAGGCCTACTGTGCCCATCTCAGTTTTCTTGACCTTGGGCTCTGGGGTGCGGGAGCAGATGTTCCGGTCAGGTGGTCAGCCGAACGCGGAGCCCCCGGTGTTAATGAATGAATGAGTACCAAGCATGCTTGGTACTCATTTGTCGACCCACTGAAGGGATGAAAGGCTGAGTCAACCTTGCCCAGACTGAGGATCGAACCAGGGACCTGTGGACCAACAGCGCTGCCGCTCATCCACCGGGCGTCTTTATAATTTGTTATTTCTGACTATTACAAGACTGGATAGTAAAAACTAATATTGTACAAATTCAATATTTTATAAGAATTTGTTTATATAAAAATGCTATAATTGTATTGTGAATCATAACAAATTTATTTTTTGTATAACATTCTTTAAAGATAAATATGGAGGAAAAAAAAATCCCCTAATTTCTGGAAATCATAGAAGCAGCCTATTTTATTATTTTCGGGTTATATTTTCTGTAAACGCTAATCTCCATGTTTTTGATAGAAAATAGTGTGAAGATATATAAAAGCTTTGTCTTCAAAGAGATTATGAAAGCTATAAATTTAATGGAGATATTTCTACAAGATAGTTTCATATGAAAATGTTTCATCAATAATGTACTCAATATCTGAAATAGCAACTATATTAATACCATAATTATAGTCAGTGAATGCCAGTCTATTAATAAAAATCCATTTTGTTGTGATATTAGTTAGTGCATTGGCATTTTTCTTGAAAACTGTTAGATCAGGTGATAGTTCATAAAATTTGTGAACAGTCTCTCTTTCTCCCTTCCTTTACCATTTTCTTTCTTAAGCTTTTTTTTAAAATTATTATTATCATTGTGATTTTAATCATACCTAAATAATTTCTGTATATATTTTGTATTTTCTACTACTGCTCGATATAATGAAGATCGATCGAAGAGAGACAAGTTTTTTATAAATCTCACAAAAAGTCTTGTTTGGATCTCCCACTGTGGTTGATAAACTTTGTAAAGAAGTTGTCATTTTTCAATTTGAAGAATGTTATGGTGATATATCTTGAGATTTTTTTTCAGCATAACAGCTTAAGCTTTGTTTTTAACTGTGTTAAATTATCAGTCCTGAGATGTCATTGTTTCTATACATGTTTAAAAATTTATAAAATGATGAGTTATTAGGGAATCTCTCTGAATTTAAATTGAAGAGAGTATTATATGATCTGATAAACTTTTATTATATTTGAAAGTAGTGTAATATATTTTTGTAGACTTCATTATAAAATTAATTTTAAAGAAGTATATTATTAAATTAATTTGGGAACCTTTTGGCAATTCTTTATTATATATGTATGCCAGATTTTGTTTTAACTCTGTCTTGTAATAGTTTTATGGTATTGCTATGAGATCTATAGTGTTTTAAAAATGTGTTTAACTATTTAAAAAGTGATAATGATGAGTTATTAGGGAATCTCTCTGAAATTAAATGGAAGATAGTCTTTAAAACTCTGAATCATATGTATAGATGTCATTCTAAAGATCCTAGCTCCCCGCAATATACAAAGTGATGGTGGAAAAAAAAAAAAGATTAAGGCAGTTTTTTTTACTACAGTGCGAGAACGCGAGAATCTCGGATATTTTTTTCTTTTCTCGCATTAAAAAATTATTGAAGAAATTATAAAAATTATTGAATTATTAAGAAATTTGCGCATTCTATAAATCAATTTCAAAATTCGCGAATTTCTTGCATTTTCGAAAAAAGCTTAGAATTACGCCATTTAGAATAAAATCCGTTTCACTTTTCCTGGATCTTTCATTATTTTCAACATCTGCCCCGTTATCTGCCTTCCCTATTTACCAGTATAGTTCAAAACCTTTTCTTGAACAACAGAACACAACCACAGAACTCCTTTGAGAACACATTTCTCTGCAACCACATGTTTACCGTAGGTTAGGTTTCTTCATGCACGTTCAAATTTTTTTATGTGCGATTTTTTATGTAAGATGGATAAATGCCTTGTAAAGGCAAAATCTTCTATGATGATGCACCAAAAATATTCAATGCTTTAAAAAATAGAAGACATTAAAAATGTATTATAATTAAAGAAATTATTTTTTTTCCAAGAGTTTTTGTGTTTTTTTAGTTTTCAGAAATCTCACTTAAGTTTTTGAAATCTCACCCTGTTTTTGAGAAAGGGTGAGAAATTCTCACCCATTTTTTTTCTATGATGAAAACACTGATTAAGGTTAAGCCTAACATGACTAATTTTGTTTGCATTTAGGTTTCAAATGCATTGGTTAAAGTCATTTATTTGTAGTGATCAAATATATCAGAATAGTATCATTGTATATCAAAATTTTAAAGCAGAGTTATAGTAAATTTAAAAATTACTACCACATTAAATTTGAATATTCAATCGAAGTTAGCAGGTATTAGTATTCTATACACATATGCAGTATTTTCAGGCATGCTAAGGAATTAATTTAAACAAATAATTGAAAGATTTCATATCTCCAATTTATTTTTTAAATTTGTTTTAAGATAGATCATGAGTCATTTTAAATGTCTTCCTGAACAAGATTATTCAATTTTCTGTTATTATGAATTTATCTGACTCCATTTTGATGAATTCCTGATGTTCCATTTATTTAAGGAAATACTAGTTTGTGTAAGAATTACTTTACTCTTTTGTATTATCTTCTAGTGGTCTAGATTAATTTTTTATGTTAAATGTTAAATATCAAAAAAAAATTTTTTAATTCCAAATGTGTTTAAGTCAATCATGATTTTCTTTGTGTCCAAAAATTTTAAATATACTGAAAGGGCAATAGCTTCATTTTAAAATATTTAAAACTCTTGTTATTGTTGCCTAGTTTGATCATACAGATAAAATTCCTTTCTTTTTTTGTTGTCTATTCTTAAGGCTCTTTAATGATGAGTTATTAGGGAATCTCTCTGAATTTAAATTGAAGAGAAACTCAAATTATCTGATTTATTTATATATATATTGATGTATTCATGTTGCCTTGCTTGTAAAATAGTTATATGGAGCATGTATTTTCTAAATTTATGTGCAGAAGCAGTATTATCATGCTTATAATCCTTTTTAATCATAAGTATAAAAATTTGCATTTTTCACAGATTTGACTGGTTTATGAGTAGATGTGTAAGAAATATTTGACCAGTGTTACACCTTGATACTGGCTATGTTTTTGATGCTGCAGTACTAAATACATTTTCTATAAATTGACCTCAAATTTTGAGTTCAGTATTTTTTTTAACATTTGAGTTGGATATTTATTAACACTATTTTGTCCATAGCTATTATGAAATTTGAAATAGCATGTTGCATGTCTTTGTGATGAAAATTTCCTTTGTTGTACTTGAATAAGGAAAAGTAATTTTATTTTAGTTAGTCATCTGCCCATTTTATAAGTAGTCAACCAATGTATGTTATTCCAAAAAGTTTCGATTTATTAGAAAATTTTATCTGTTTTTCCTTTGACCCACTATGATGCTTGTAGATGTTAATGATGAGTTATTAGGGAATCTCTCTGAATTTAAATGGAAGAAAGCCTTCAAATTCTGATTCATTTTTATGTTCTGACATGTGTTGCATTCCTTGTGGACTTGTTAAATGTCAGACATATATTAACCTGTTTTTGTGAATTTTAGTATGTTGTACGATTTTGAGTATTCCATATGAAATATAGATATAATATTATGTAATAGAGATATAATATGTTCGGATCTTTTTGCAGCATGTTAGGTTGCTTTATTTCTTTAACACCAGCTTGTGTTATTTCTATGTGATGAAATCAAGTACTGTCGCAGATAGAGCAGTATTTTAAGCAATTGATTCTATATTATGAGTTTTGTACACTGGAAGTTGTAATGGCCTTTTCTCCTGTATCAAATGTGCAAATGATGATTAGCATACTTTGGTCCGTGTTTCTGATTATATGATGTTTAGTATGATTCTGATGCTGCATACATTAGTCTATTAAAATATGAAGTGTATTTTTATTTATTAGTTACATAACTTTTTGCAGAATTGAGTAGAATGCCATCTGCAGTTAAGCCAATTTTTATACCTTTAGATGGTTAGAAGTTCCACCTGTAAATATTTTGACCCTTTAAGGTGCTTCTGTATTTCTGAAGAGAAAGATATACTTTACACCTTTTTTCAGAGATACCTTTATGAGCTCATTCCTTTGCAAGTAAGCTAGGCAGAAGAATCCCAAAGCTTTGTCACAATTCTAGATTATTCTTTCATAACTACGTAGACATTAGTTTTATCTCTTAGAAATGGTCAGAACTTATTTTTATTTGCTGAACCAAGCATTTTTTTAAAAAAGGCATTGGGCGTTATTTTTCCTTTTAAATATATCTTAGAGTTTCAATGCTATTTAGTCCTGGATTACATTTTGTTAACACATTTCAAAATCATCAATTAAGCTGTAAATGTACTTCAGTAAATGTATGTATAGTTGAATCTTTGGTAGACTTAAATTATAACACGATACTGAACATGAAGTAACTAGTTAAAATTTCTTAATTGTGGTTCCAATTCTGCTTTGTATCAAAAACTTGCATTACTTATTTATTTTTTAGCAAAATATTGTTTACTTTAAATTTGTATTCAATGTATTTTTTTCCATGTTTCATTTCCATCTAAATCTCATATCTGAAAGACAAATGAAGTGAAACAAAATCTATAGCTGCTTTTTAGATCACTGTGCTGGACTATCTAATCATTGCAGTAAATTGAGATTTTTCTTGTGTTAAGTCAGTTGATTTTTCTCTGACTAGCCGCTTCTTAGTCAGAAATAAAACCTTGCATAAAGTATTTTTTACCGTTATATGGAAATAATTTACTGCATTTCTTGGTTCTAAAAACACATAATTTTTAATTACACAATTCAAGATTTTTATCAAACATAAACCTAATGTAATCTAAGCGTATATAAACGGAGATGCCAACTGCTCCGGATTCAACAAAGAATATTTTTAAGAACAATAGAGAACTACAAACTCTAATCTCAAGATTTTTGTTTCATTTTGACATTTTAAAAAGCTCAACATGATTTTTGTGTTATGAGATTTAAAAACCTTCTAAAAATATATTTAGGTACATTAAAAAAAATTTTTTTTATCTTAATTTGTTTTAAAGCTGATTTTTTCTAAATTAACAGGGTTCATATCAGTACAATTTCTTGATAATATTGTTGCCTTGAAATATGTTAAGAAATTCCAAAGTAGGTTAGGTTTTAGATTTTTCAAATGGAATGACAATTATAATGTATGCATTTCTTCATGTACTGGCGGTGTAGTTGTTCATCAATAAAACATAATTTTTTAAAATTATCTTTCTTTAGAATTTTTAGTACTTTTTGTTAATTCTTACTTTCTCTGTTTTCCTCGTTTGTTTATTTCGTCTCATCATTTTAATTTGGGTTGAATCGTTTCGTTTAGATTTTGCTTTTTTTTCACTTAGTTTTAATCAATTCTAATCTTCAATCATTATGGGGTAATGAACCTTATTAGTTTTAAGATGTAATAGATGGTGATTAATAACTTTTGATGTGTACCGTAGCATTATTGAATCAGACAATTCTAAAGTTTGATTTTTGACCTAAATTTTCATTACTAGTGTGAACCCTAGTGATTAAGATTTATGGAAGACCATTATCACGTACAGATATACTGAAATTTTAATCTTTACTGATTGCTATTTTCTTTTTAGGTTCGTGCAGCTGAATCTTTAATGAAGTTAATATCGGACATAAAGCAGTATCTTATTCTGAATGACTTTCCATCTGTCAATGAAGCTATCTCTCAGAAAACAAAAATGTGCAGAGCTGTGCAAGATAGCATTGATTCTAAACTGACAAATCTTAGAGATGACATGGCTTCTGAACTGTATGATTTAGAAGAGGAATATTATTCATCTGCTTTTAAATTAAAGCCCATGTTTTCAGAAGATAATGTCCTCAATTAGCAATAATCCATTCAAGGCTTAGGATGATTATTTTATTGCTTGCATTTTTTAAAATGCGATCTTTGCATCCGGTCCCGACAGGTTCTTTTGGCTGTATCTGAAGTACAGTGCATGTGGTTTGAATCCTGCTGATGATGCAATTATGTTTTGGGGACGCATTCAAGATGAAAGATTGGTCTTCCTGTTTCTCCTGATGCTTGTTAGATTTATGAAATCTTTAACAGCTGGGAAGTGTTGTGAAATGTATGATTCTTTGTCATAGTTTGATAAAAGTTTGCTCATTTATTAAAAATATCTCTACATTTGTATTCTGTCATGTTTTTTCAAGCTTATTTATCATTAGAATTTGGAATATAATTTTTAAAGTAAAGACTTACTGGTGTGATATCTTGTAGCAGAAGTTTGTTTTTGATTGAGTAATAATAATCTAATTATGATAATTTTCTTTTTATGTTATTCTAGTTGTATTTATGTTGCACTGGAAGATACTCAACTAAAATTCATTTTCAGTGTTTNAATTTATTTTCAAACATGGAAGATTATTAGCAAAACTTATATCTTAAATCTATGCTAAGATAGCAAATTCTTTTTAGAGCACCCAGTTTCTTAGCAAGAGTTTTAGAACAATACTGATTCTTGATATTCCCAGACACTTAGTTTTCTTGCTTTTGAGATTTTATAATAAGTTTTCATTCTTTTGATAGGATTCAGTTGCAGGAAAGTATTGAATGCTCTTCGTTATGACCCGATAGTCTTATGTCAAAAATCCAGTCTTATTATTTTTTTTTCATAATAAACTAAAGAGAATTTGAGTAGTAAAGCAAAACAAGAAATCTAAATTTATTTAATAAAAACGTTTTTAATGAGTGCTAAATAATTCACTCAAGATGTTTTAATATATTAGAACTATTTATTATTTTGTAATTTATGGGTGTCAAATCCTAACATACAGAATTAATTTTGCAAGGTAAGTATATTGCTGACTGATCGGGCAGAGCTCCCCATGTAGCAATAACCTAAAAATGTGCTTTGACTAGCTTATAATGGGGCGTAATTTGTTCGACCGGCTTTTATAAGTATTTATGGTATTCGATGTGAAACTTTGCTTTGAACCTTTTTGTTATTCATAGCTATTTTTAAAATAGTTAAAAGAAATTTGTATTGAATTTGAGTGTCAGTGTTGTCTTTTACGGTACTAGAATTTTTTACTCCTAAATAACTTAATTATTAACTAAAAGTTGATAAGATCAGATAACCTTACACGCTTTATGCTGAAATACGTAGACATTAGGATAAAAAATGGCGGGAAAAACAATTATGTTTTCTTCACAATTTTAAGGGTTTAAACATCTAAACTTTCCAAATTTCCGTTTTAAAATTTTTTGACTATCCTCTTAGAGGAAATTTAGCTGTAAAAATAATTTTACTCTGTCGTTTCAGAGGTCCCAATAATTGTAGCTAATTTTTTTTTATAATGAAAGGGTGTTTGGAATGAGGAAAGCAGTTGTAGAAGCTGATCTGTATAGCACATAAGTTTAAAATTAAAACCTAGAAAATAGTCTTTTTAAAATTTTTTTGACACAATTCCCTCTGAAGTATCTTCTAATATTGTTCGCGCTTCCGAATTTTTCACTCTAGCCCAGCAAAATATTAATGGTTGAAATAATAATTTTTTTCTTCCAAGTCTAATCAATAACTGATAAAACTTGGATTTCTCGAAAGCTGTGGGGAAAAGGGTAAATTTATCTAAAAATCAGCATGAATTTTTTTTTAATGCAGCCCAGTATAATTAATCATTTTTGTATTAATCTACAAAGATCGCCTTAATGCTAAAAATCGAGGTTATATTGCCTGATTAGGAGCTTTAGCTACAAGAATTAATCAGCAATTTTGGCATAAAACTTATTCCGGTCCTTGAAACTTTTTCCGGTTCTTTCCTATCTAGCCGCCTTTGCTCTGTTAAATGATGGTATGAAATAAACATAAGTTAATGGCTGTTTTATTTTTTCAACTTATGTTTTTACACAGTGCTTTTGTATTTATTCTTCTTGGGGGGTATTAGCGTTTCATCTTTAACCGGCGCTATCTATGCCGTAGATGAAAAGCACAGAATATCGATATGAAAATAAAGCCACCCTTTTGTGAATATGAAAAATGTTTGTGGAATAAATTATTATTACTTAAAATTTATGAAAACATAAGAGGAGTAAATCTGTGTATCTTATATTTATCAAAAGAGGGATTACTGCAGAGATCAAACTTGCTTGGTTAATGGAACAATTTTAAAAGGGACAAATATTGCCATATTATAAAAATAAAATATTAAGTAGTATCTCTTTACAAAGACGAAGCGAGTTTGTGAAAAGGCAGATCCGTTTTTACATGACACTTTTTTGTAGCTATTAACTGAGCGGTAATCGGACATGCCTCAGTCCTAACACCAAGAATTTAAATTTCGAGTTAATGAATAGTTACTAATCGACACTTAGAGGAGAGATAAGTTATTAAACTTTTAAAAGATCGCCAGTTTGAGGATATTTTTGCATTCAGATGAAAATTATCAAAATCTATGCGTTATTCCCAATTTTTGCAAATTTTGATGAGCTCAGATAATGCTGCATTGGAGTAAGTTATTAAAAATTTAAGGCGCTGGCTCTATGCTCACTACTTGATCTATCTGCCATAAGTAATTGTTGCGAACTTACATCAGTTATGAAAATAGTATATTTGAAAAAAAAAAAAGCATTCGATGCAACTATAGTTGATATGTACTCCCTCCACCACGAAGTCTGAGGCGGTCTGCAAACAAGAATTGCGCATATCGGGGAGGGTAGCGTCTCTTCACTTATGGGTAAATACAATAGACCAAAGAAAAAGATTCCCGTTTTCTCGCCAAAACCTGTCCTAAACACTGACCTCACATCCCTAATTAAATAGTTATACCAGACAAATGGCTAGAGGAGTTCTTACTTTAGACAAACTATACAGTCTTCGAAAACAGCCTTAATATTATATTTCAAATTTTCTGACTACAGCTTAATCTCCAAAAAAAAAAAACGTGATAATTTAAAAAATACCCCGTAACCGAAACAGGGGCGCCGCGAACTTACATTTTGCGAATAAATTTTCCTATTAAAACCGAATCAAATTAACGCGTACAATTATTCTTACATATTATAATTAAGGGGCATCAAATGCGGCTCTACAAAAATTTTCTTGCTTATGAAGTTATGAGTTTTATTACTTTTATACAGGATGATTATAATTAAAGTTATGATTTCAAAAATCGATAATTTTAAAACTACTTTTCATAATGACCTAATATTTTTGCAAACAATCTTGAGTCAATAGAATTTTGTTTAACGAAAGAAAAAGCTCCAAAAACTGCCGATGGATGGGGCTGTAAAAATGCAACGCGCCAGCTCTTTGCCTGAAAATTTCATCTTGACAGCGTCATGATGACTGACTATGAAGGATCACTCTCTGCTTATGAAGCTTTTTTATAAGAACGATGAGTGTGCACATACAGCTATTGGGAAGTATCGGACATTAATATATACAAAAACTAGGTCCACATAAATGGTCTGCGAAAAATGATTGCTGAATTCGAAGAGACCGGTTCATTTGACGTGAAACGGGGTAGAGGAAGGAAACCAGTTTCGGTTGCGGCAGGGGAAGATGTGACTACAGCATTACAAGAACAGACGAACAGAGATGCTTGAATCGGCAGTGCTCGCGGGGAATTAGCCGACTGCTTGATATGCCGATCAGCACGGTAGGTTAAGTCCTACGGAACATCTTAAGTTGTCAGGTCACCTGCACAAAATAACTCAAATGCAGTAGCTGCTACCTACTGACCTGGAAGCACGTTAATCTTTTGCACTACGATTTCTTGCCCAGATGGAAGTTAAAAACGAATGGTCTTGAAGCATTCTCATTTCCATTCGCAAGGTTCTGTAAATGCACGAAATTGCAGGATATGGGCGACCAAGAATTCGTTCCAGCTGCAGCCATTACCTCTTCACTCTGAAAAGTCACTGCGTGATGCGGAATAACAACAGCGATTATCGTCCGTTTTTCTTCGAGGAGATCACACTTACCGATCCTATTACCTGAACCGTTTCGTTACTGACAAACGGTATGAAGAACTTTTGCGTAACCATGTTCTTTCCGGCACTTCAGCAGCGTCAGTGTGTGGATCCTATAACATTCATGGAAGATGGCACTTCTCCACACATTGCTACTCCTGTGAAGCAGCTGCTAAGTGCTCATTTCGGATATGATAGGATTATAAGCCGCCATTTTCCAACAACGTAGCCACCACGTTTCCCCGACTTAACAAAGTGCGATTTCTGGCTTTGGGGGTATCTGAAGAAAGTTGTTTATAGCTGGCGGATTGAGAATCTAGCCGACTTGAAAGCAAGCATCAGACACCACATCCATTGCATCAGTACGCATGCCCTCCAATCTGTAATGGAGCATGCAGCTTTGCGTTTCCAATAAGAAGCGCAACAAGGCGGAAGTAACATCGAACAACTTATGCCTTAATCATCAGTAAGCTGTTTGTTCCATACAGCTCTTTTTTTTGTTGATATTATCACTGTTGCTGTAAACACTTATTCTATAATTTCGCTAATAAATTTTTAGTAAACCCCTGATCTCTATTGTTTCATTCCGGCTAAAAACATACCTGTGTGTAACGAATTCATTTCTCGTCTGTCCCCTGACAGCGCCCAGGGGCGGATTACCCATTAGGCCAGAATAGGCCATGACCAGGGGCCCCCAATGATTAGGGACCCCTTAAAAAAAATTTTTTGAAAATAAATTTAAAAAAATTAAGAAAAACAATGATTTCTTAAAAAAAAATCAATTTCAAATATATATTAATAAAATACGATAATTTTTTTAGTTCTAATTTAGCAAAATAAAGTAAAATTAAATTTATTATTATTTATTTTAATTTTAAGAATGCTTTCTTAAATAAAAAGATATATAAATACTTTTATATTTGAATAAATAAAAAATATACGGGAAATTTTTTTTTATCTAAGGGCCCCAAAAAATTTGAATGGCCTAGGACCCCGCGTACGCTTAATCCGTCCCTGACAGCGCCATTTACCAGCAGATTTTGGAACTATTTTTTCCTTCGTCAAACAAAATTTCATTGTTCTGTTAAAATATCAGATCATTCTGACGAGTAGTTTTAAAATTACTGATTTTTGAAATTGTAACTTTAATTATAATCACCCTGTATTCTTAGTGTTAGCAAAATTTATAATTCGATATTTTTTCTAGTGTTTGATACATT